CTTTCTAAAGCCCTTTTATTCCATCTCCAGCAGTAGTGCTACCTTGTTCCTCTGGAATTTGTATAGCATTGTCTTTACCTGTTTCATCACCAGGGCCACTATTTCCATCTGGTGCACTGTCTTCTAGGACAGCACCAGCACCATCTGGTACACTGCTAGGACAGCACCAGCACCATCTGGTGCACTGTCTTTCATGTCTGTATTCTTACAAGTACTGTCCTCCAAGACAGCACCAGCCCCAGGGGTGACAGCCCCACCTGCCCCACTCCTTTCATTTTCCAAGCTATTATACAAGGCTGTCATGTTTTCTAAGATGGATATTTTTGTTGTTGGTATTCCTTTCTTCTAGTATAGATGTAATTTTCTCCCAAAGATGCCTCTCACTTGGGCAGACCCAAAAAACATTTTCCTGATTTAATATCAAAGGTGACTGATTACTTAATGTCCATACACGACCCATGGGACCATTTTCCACAGAGATTGCATGCAATCCAAGCTAAACCTGGCCTGTTACTCTTACTGCAGATTACACAGGTTTGCATGATGTAGTTTACCTGGAGTTTACCTGGAGAGAGTTCCGGGGGTCAACACCCCTGCGGCCCGGTCTGTGACCAGGCCTCCTGGTGGATCAGAGCCTGATCAACCAGGCTGTTGCTGCTGGCTGCACGCAAACCAACGTACGAGCCACAGCCCGGCTGGTCAGGAACCGACTTTAGGTGCTTGTCCAGTGCCAGCTTGAAGACTGCCAGGGGTCTGTTGGTAATCCCCCTTATGTATGCTGGGAGGCAGTTGAACAGTCTCGGGCCCCTGACACTTATTGTATATACTGTAGTTTGCTGTATATACTTTTTTAAATAATTTACAGTTTCAGTATCCCATATAATAATCTTTCTTCCTGGTATACCTTAACAGTTCTACTCGGTAGGTTGGCTAGGGTAAGGGTCTACTATAAAAGTATTTTGATTTATATAATGGTATATATACTATGCTGGTATATATACTGTAGTTTGATATATATAATTTTTATAGATTATTTACAGTTTCAGTATCCCATACAACAAACTTTCCTCCTGGTATACCTGAGTAGTTCTCCTGGTAGGCTGGCTAGGATAATAGTATACTATAGAGTATTTAAATTGTATATTATATAAATTACCAATATTCTGTAAGACATTATGTAGACCGAGGCTCACACATTCACCCAACTTGACCATCAAAAGTGTGCTTCACCCGAGTAGATATGACTGATGTATGATGATTATGGACCTGTTATCATAACACTTCCTTTTTAATATATTTGGTCATATTTGAAAATTATTTTTATGGTTTTATAATACTGGATATAACATCCAAATGATAATTTCTACATTCATAAATCTATTTTTATATAGATATGCAGAAAGTACCAGCAATTAATTTTGTCAACTAATAACCATTGTCGTTACAACCTGCACTAATTTATTTTTAGAAATAGTCTTTACTCCCTGTTTGCGACATATGAGTTGCCAGATGCCACTTCTGCCCAGCAGAGAGAGTGAAGGAACTTTTTTCCACAACTGTACCGTCACTGAACATTTTCACAGCTCCATTTCCCCTACTTGTTCTTAAGATGCTCAGTTTTTTAGATCCATCATCCCCATGACAAGGTTGGGATATGTGGATGGTATGCAAGTCATTTATCCTTCAAGATTTAGCATCCAAAATTAAATCAACAGCAAAGAACCAACCATCCATCACGTTCACTTTGGAAACATAAAAAAGATGGAGTTTTCTTTCCTTGATATTCTATTGTGTACAACCAACAATGCTCTGGTTTTCAAGGTACGTACAACATAAAACCGCTAATAAAGTTGATCTACACTGTTAATTGCATCAGGATACCAGGACTAAAAGAGGAGTCATCAATGAGTTCTTCCTGAGAGCTATAGAATTTCAAGCCCAACTTTCCTCGAAGAGAAGTGCTCATACATCCACGGTGTATTCATTCATCTTAAATTCCTTTCCCATTCTATTAATGATTGACAGAGAAGAGTATATCACACCATGAACACACAGCGTCGGATAACTCGACTAAGAAGTACAGTTACCTACCCTGTGAGAATGTAGCCACTAACGTGTCTAGTGTACTTGTCAGTTTAAATGAGCGTTGCCAACAAGGTACCTTATTAAGGACCCCACTACGTCACAGATTATGGTGCAAGAAACTACATCAAACACTGTAGTGGCTGGAATAGAGTGCATTTGGGAGAAATGGAAAGTAGTCTGGACTACGGCCATCATATAACCATCTGATGAAGCGGGGAGGGACCAAACTCATAGAAGTTGAGTACGATCGGCATAAAGATGCTGACTTGAATCTTTATTGATCACCATTTCCGACACTTGTCAAAAAAATCTGGTAGTCTGAGCTTGTCAGATATACTGGCCAACTTGCTGCTACCCAGTTAGAACACTGCATTCATATGAAGTAACCAATGATCTGATTCCTCATACACCTAACATCTTTGCTTCTATATATTTTTTATTAATGCATCGGCCGTTTTCCACCAAGGTAGGGTGACCCGAAAAAGAATAAACACTTTCATCACTCACTTCATCACTGTCTTGCCAGAGGCGTGCCAACACTATAGCTCAAAAACTGCAACATATCTCCACCCGTCCTTCAGAGCGCAGGAACTGTACTTCCCACCTCCAGGACTCAAGTCCGGCCTGCTGGTTTCCCTGAATCCCTTCATAAATGTTACTTTGCTCACACTCCAACAGCACATCAAGTCATAAAAAACATTTGTCTCTACTTGTTCCTAACACGCTCACGCACGCTTGCTGGAAGTCTCAGCCCCTCGCGCATAAAACCTCCTGTCACAGCTGCTTAGTGCTATATCGGATACCCGAATCCGCATCCGTGGAACATCCGCACAATTTCTTACATCTAGATTAGATTTCTTACATCTGCATCCGAATTTTACTGTAAACAGATATCCGCATATGCATCAACATCCGAATCCAGGAAACATCTGCAGCAACATCCACGGAACATCCGCACAATTTCTTACATTCGCATCTGCAACCGCAAAATAAGTAAAACATCCTCATACACATACACATCCACATCCACGGATATCTAAATTTTCACATCCGATACATCTCTACAGCTGCCTGTCATAGCTGCTGAACCACTATGGCAGAATTATGGAGGCGTTAGAAGACGACCAAAATGCAGATGTGATATACACAGATTCTGCAAAGGCGTTTGACAAATGCGATCATGGAGTGATAGCGCACAAAATGAGGGCCATAGGCGTTACGAGGAAGGTAGGCAGGTGGATTTTTCGGGTTCCTAACGCACAAAGCACAAAAACTAGTAGTAATAAGAGCAAAATCGAGCATGAGCGAGGTAAAAAGCTCAGTTCCCCAAGGCACCGTCCTGGCACCTCTGCTGTTTCTCATCCTCATAGCAGACAAAAATAAAAACACTCGTCACAGTTTTGTATCATTTGCAGATGCCACTAAATTAAGCATAAAAGTCACTAAGATAGAAGACACTGAAAAATTACCGGAAGACATAAGCTTGGTTTTTCAGTGGGCAGCGGAGAACATGACGTTCGGTGGTGATCAGTTCCAGCTGCTTAGGTATGGAAAGAATGAAGAACTCAAACGGAACTCTGTATACAAAATTCAAGAGGGTCACCAAATAGAACGAAAGGAACACATAAAAGACATTTGAATAATTATGTCATCTGACCTTTCTTTTAAAGAACATAAGACAAAGATCATGAGAGCCAGAAGGGGGGGGGGTATCGAGAACTTTCAAAACAAAGGAAATAATGCCAATGGTGACACTCATCAAATCGCTAGTGCTCCCTCATTTGGAATATTGCTCAGTGTTGATGGCCCCGTTCAAGGCAGGAGAAATATCAGAGCTGGAACAAATACAGAGATCGTTTATGACATACAATGAGCCAGTAAAGCATTTAAATTATGGGAACGCCTTAAGTCTTGAGCATGTACTCATTGGAGCAGATATTTGGATTCAGGACATGAAAATACATAAGAATTAACTACTCTAATCACTCCCTATGAAAGCAAGAGACTCGGCAGGAGATGCAACATTCCTCCGATGAAAAGCAGGGGCGCCATGAGTACACTGAAAGACAACACAATAAGTGTCCGGGGCCCAAGACTGTTCAACTGCCTCCCAGCATACATAAGGGGGATTACCAATAGACCCCTGACTGTCTTCAAGAAGGCACTGGACAGGCACCTAAAGTCAGTACCTGACCAACCGGGCTGTGGTTCGTACGTTTGCGTGCGGCCAGCAGTAACAGCCTGGTTGATCAGATCCTAATCCACCACGAGGCCTGGTCTCAGACCGAGCCGCAGGGGCGTTAAACCCCGAAACCCTCTTCAGGTAAACTCCAGGTAATCTCATTTAAGAAGCATACAACTTTTCAGAAATTGTTGACCAGTGTTACCTTGAACTCCTGTTCTTCACCATTCTCCTTTGTATGGACTGATGAAGCCACTGTGTGGCGAAACGTTTCCTCAATAAAGATATCCAAGTGTTGCACATGTGTCTAATTTATCAACTTGTCGGTTCTCTGAACCATTTATCTTAAAATTTATCTAAAAATAATGATTCCTAACTAGTCACAAGTTTGCCTGTGATACTCCAATAAACTATATATTGTGCCAAAACAAAAATAATTCACATTGCTAAACTCACAAACTAGTATTTAGTCACTTAGTATTTAGTCAACTTACTCCACAATTTGTAATAATTTAGGGTTAAGAATTAATCTAACTTTGCCCGAAATACCCAGCCATGCCAGGTGTTCTAGTGGCCCCTTCTGTAATTAGTATTTTACTACATGTAAACCACACAATAACCAAAATCTGTAAACCCCGCATTGTAATCCTTATAGAGAATAAACTTGATTGATTGATTATTATTAACATTTATGATAGTGAACCCTATCATATATATATATGATAATACATACTTTTCTCCGCCGTTGTAATGTCCAGTTCTTCCACAAGAGTAGCCAGAATTTCCGCAGGCCAGATGAACCACTTCCCATGTTTCTTTTTCCTACCCACCCCTGAAAGATAAAGATTATTAACACACAAAATAAAATTAATTCCGCTTTGAAAATCAACAAAGTTTATCGAGATTTGTTGAAAGAACAATAAGTATTGTTGTAAAATGGTTCAATATTTTTAACGGAATTGCTGGAAGGCGTTAAAACTAATATCATTTTTCGTTAAGAAAATATTTTTAACAGTGTTGTCCAGCCTGGTTTTGAGTTGCATAAATTATTGCAATTATACCTAACATAACTAATTGCTTGGTATTTTAATGAAAATATACAAAATATATATATTCTCATCAGCAACATCAACAAAGGATAAACTGTATAATTGTAATATACGAGTATGATATATGAATACCGACAAACTGTCTAGACTGACATTTGTAATGCTTAAATATTTTATTAAGGGTACATTTAGGTCGCTGGGAGGTTGATCAAGCCTCATTGTGAGGTTGATAACGCTCCCGGTCAGGGCCTATGTAACTTGTTTCAACAAGATCTAATCCTGTGACACGAGAGCAACAACTGGTAATTGTATTCAGACTACGTTTCGCCTGTCAAGTTTATAAGTGACCTGAAAAGTGTTATACCTGACAAACATTGACTGAAGTTTCCAATTATTGCATTAGTGTCTGTCATCTACAACTTGTCAGTATTCCCGTAGCATCTATTATTACAAGAGGGCAAAATTCACAATTTATTTCATGATAAGTGCCAAGGTGCTAAAAAAAAACAGGACGTTATCCAGGTTAAAGAACGTGAGAGTGGAACATACAAGCTCTTAAAGAAGTGAATGTGACTACAAATTATAGCTAACCCACAAATTAGAGATTAACACTGGTCGATGTTTCAGCCCGTTGTGGACCATTAGAAGCAGCGAGGGAAGACATCCTCCAGTTTTCATTTTTAATTTGTGGGTTGTGAATGGCTTCGTACACTCGCCATGATCTCGGTGAGGGTAAGTGAGGTCAGGCTCAACAAGCAGCCCATCCCTGTGCTAGGTCAAGCAGTGTGGGAGGTATAATAATGTTCACAAGGGTGTGCAGAAATACATTTGAAGAGTGATTGGAACTTTGTGCTCGAATACTTCTGTCCAGATGGAGGAATATGAGAGCGGTAACATGAGTTAAGTGACGGAAAATAAAAATATATAAAAAATGAGGTAAAAAAAGAGGAAATAGATGTGCTGACAACAGCAGATTTTGCAACTGCTGCTGAAACAGTCGCCGCCGCCGCCGGGTTTTTAAAGCGAGCAGAAACAAAATAAGAAAAATCAGGTCCAGCTAGTTTTGATGGTTTATATAACTGAGTGTCTCACCAATGTAGCGGCATTTAGCATGTCTATAACATTCAAGATTCCATGTCTCCAAGTGTGTGATATTGCAAACTCATTTTTTCACACTATCGCAAAAAAAAAAAAAAAATTGAAGTAATCATGCGGACTCAACCTTCCTACGTGGTGGTCCAGATCACCAGTAGTTCTGATAACACTTATAAAAGTGATCCACACCAACATACCACTCACCTTGCCCAAGGTTTCAAAGGGAAGTACCATCTTGTAGGAGAGTACGACACAACTTGAATACACAATCTTTTCACTCACTTCTCAGAGACTCAATAATATGACCACTTAACTCATAATGGTTAACTGTCTATTAATACTTTTTGAATCTTTCAACTCTGGCAAGGTTACGATTGCCTCGGATTGTCTTTGAGGAGAGAGAGAGGTATTTGGAGGTACTAGCTACCTATGAGACTGTCTTCACAACTGCCTCATAAGTCCACAACTTTCGAAAATAAAACCTCAGCACCATTTGTGTAAGGTAGAGACAATTACTGCACTTTAATGTACCTGTTCAAACAAAAGATGCTATATAAAGTAAACAAATGGCATGGACAATACTCAAGTTGTATTACTTGTCACAAACAACACAATTCACACAATATATATATTTTATTTATTTATTTAGTAAATATTTTAGTATATATTTTATATATACATTATATATTTTTATATATTAATATATTATATATATTTATATATATATATATATAAGAGAGAGGTAATTTAAGTAATATTAAATTTAAAATGAACTATGGAAAACAGCGGAATTTAACTATAAAAAATCCAAAAAGAATTTCAACTGAAATTCAGTGACTTGAGACTGAGGGATACTGATACTAGTGAGTATGATCAGTGTAGCAGGAAGGAGGAAGTCACTAGCGCCCAGCTCCCCCTGCGTTACAAGTACTGTCTCTGGAAGGTTCTCTGGAAGGTTGCATCACCACCACAAGCTGATGTAGACATAACAATTATATACTTGCCAGATGGATTATTGTCACACCCTGAGTCATTATGTGCTGAAATACAATGAATTCAGAGACAGCTCACAAATGTTCAAGAAATGACACAGTATTTGATCCACACTGGCATATTACCCTGACTTCATATTGTAAATGACTCGTAACCACTTTATTTTTTTTTAAATTCAACCATACCTTGCTAAAATATAACGTAGTAGGGTGATAGACAGCAACCACCCAGGGAGGTACTATCGTCCTGTGGTAGTAAGTTGGTAGACAGCAACCACCAAGGGAGGTACTATCGTCCTGTGGTAGTAGGTGATAGACAGCACCACCAGGGAGGTACTATCGTCCTGTGGTAGTAGGGTGATAGACAGCAACCACCCAGGGAGGTACTATCGTCCTGTGGTGGTAGGTTGGTAGACAGTAACCACCCAGGGAGGTACTATCGTCCTGTGCTAAAATATAACGTAGTAGGGTGATAGACAGCAACCACCCAGGGAGGTACTATCGTCCTGTGGTAGTAAGTTGGTAGACAGCAACCACCCAGGGAGGTACTATCGTCCTGTGGTAGTAGGTTGATAGACAGCAACCACCCAGGGAGGTACTATCGTCCTGTGGTAGTAGGTTGGTAGACAGTAACCACCCAGGGAGGTACTATCGTCCTGTGGTGGTAGGTTGGTAGACAGTAACCACCCAGGGAGGTACTATCGTCCTGTGGTAGTAGGTTGATAGACAGCAACCACCCAGGGAGGTACTATCGTCCTGTGGTAGTAGGTTGGTAGACAGCAACCACCCAGGGAGGTACTATCGTCCTGTGGTGGTAGGTTGGTAGACAGTAACCACCCAGGGAGGTACTATCGTCCTGTGGTAGTAAGTTGGTAGACAGCAACCACCCAGGGAGGTACTATCGTCCTGTGGTAGTAGGTTGGTAGACAGCAACCACCCAGGGAGGTACTATTGTCCTGTGGTGGTAGGTTGGTAGACAGCAACCACCCAGGGAGGTACTATCGTCCTGTGGTAGTAAGTTGGTAGACAGCAACCACCCAGGGAGGTACTATCGTCCTGTGGTAGTAGGTTGATAGACAGCAACCACCCAGGGAGGTACTACCGTCCGTGGTAGTAGGTTGGTAGACAGCAACCACCCAGGGAGGTACTACCGTCCTGTGGTAGTAGGGTGATAGACAGCAACCACCCAGGGAGGTACTATCGTCCTGTGGTAGTAGGTTGGTAGACAGCAACCACCCAGGGAGGTACTATCGTCCTGTGGTATTAGGTTGGTAGACAGCAACCACCCAGGGAGGTACTACCGTCCGTGGAAGTAGGTTGGTAGAAAGCAACCACCCAGGGAGGTACTACTGTCCTGTGGCAGTAGGTTGGTAGACAGTAACCACCCAGGGAGGTACTATCGTCCTGTGGTAGTAGGTTGGTAGACAGCAACCACCCAGGGGGATACTACAGTCCGTGGTAGTAGGCTGGTAGACAGCAACCACCCAGGGAGGTACAACCGTCCTGTGGTAGTAGGGTGATAGACAGCAACCACCCAGGGAGGTACTATCGTCCTGTGGTAGTAGGTTGATAGACAGCAACCGCCCAGGGAGGTACTATCGTCCTGTGGTAGTAGGTTGGTAGACAGTAACCACCCAGGGAGATAAAATGGTCCTGTGGTAGTAGGTTGATAGACAGCAACCGTCCAGGGAGGTACTATCGTCCTGTGGTAGTAGGTTGGTAGACAGTAACCACCCAGGGAGGTACTATCGTCCTGTGGTAGTAGGTTGATAGACAGCAACCGCCCAGGGAGGTACTATCGTCCTGTGGTAGTAGGTTGGTAGACAGTAACCACCCAGGGAGGTACTATCGCCCTGAGGTAGTAGGTTGGTAGACAGTCACCACCCAGGGAGGTACTACCGCCCTGTGGTAGTAGCTTGGTAGACAGTAACCACCCAGGGAGGTACTATCGTCTTGCCAAATGCGTGTGAAACGGAAACCTGTAGTTTTTTACACAATGGTTGGAATGCTGGTGTCTTTTTGTTTCTGTCTCATAAACACGCAACAAAACAGGTACGTCTTGCTACTTCTACTTACACTTAAACACACTACATATACATGTACACGCATATTTATACATACCAGTCTAAATATTCGACTATTTTTCTAATAGTTCTTGATCTTTTATTTCCTCTCATCACAGTGAATGTGTGTGGACGTAGTGCAGATGATAATAAAGAGGTGATTGCCAATGTTATGAATGAAAAGAAGTTGGATGTCCTGGCTCTAAGCGAAATAAAGCCGAAGGGGGTAGGAGAATATCGGTGGGGAGGAATAAATGGGATTAAGTCAGGCATATCTGAGAGAATTAAAACTAAGGAAGGAATAGCAATAATGTTGAAGGATTAGTTATGGAAGAAGAGGGAATATAAATGTATAAATTCGAGGATTATGTGGATTAAAATATGGGTTGGATGTGAAACGTGGGTTATAATAAGTGTGTATGCACCTGGATTGTAGAGGAGAGAGATTTTAGGAGATGTTAAAGAAGTGTTTAGGAACTTTTGAACCAAGTGAGAGAACAACTGTGGCAGGGAACCTCAATGCTAAAGTAGGAGAAACGTTTAGAGAGGGTGTGGTAGGTAAGTTTGGGGTGCCAATGATAACAGGGAGCCTTTGAATTTTGTATAGAAAAGCGTTTGGTTTTACGTGATACATACTTTAAGAAAATGAAGATAAATAAGTATACAGGATATGACAGAGGGCATAATGACAGTAATTTGTTGGACTATGTATTGGTAGATAAAAGACTGATGGGTAGACTTCAGGATGTGCATGTTTATAGAGGGGCCACAGATATATCAGATCACTTTTAGTTGTAGCTACAGTGAGAGTAAAAGGCAGATGGGACGCAAAGGAGAATACAATCAACGAGTAAGAGAGAAGTGAAGGTTTATAAACTAAAGGAGGAGGCGTTTGGGTTAAGATATGCACAACTACTGGAAAAAAGATGGAGTGGTGGGAATACAGGCAATGAGGTTGAAGAGGTATGTGGTAGTTTTAAGAAAGTAGTGTTAATAGTGCTCAGCAGAAGTTTGTGGTTACAGGAAAGTGGATGAGGGAGAGAAGAAGAGTGACTGGTGGAATGAGGTAAAGAGAGTAGTACAAGAGAAAAAGTTAGCATATGAGAGGTTTTTACAAAGTAGAAGTGATGCAAGGAGGAGTATATAGATAGAAAAGGAGAGGTTAAAAGAGTGGTGAAGGAAAGTACAAGGAGTAAAAATGAGAGAGTGGGTGAGATGTTATCAACAACTTTTGCTGAGAAAAATAAAAAGTTTTGGAGTGAGATTAATAGGTTGAGAAAGCCTAGGGAACGAATGGATTTGACAGTTAAAAATATGAGAGGAGAGTTATTAGACAGAGAGAGGTATCGGGAAGATGGAGGGAATATTTTGAGGAACAGTTGAATGTTGATGAAGATAGGGAAGCTGTGATTTCGTGTACTGGGCAGGGAGGTGTAACATCTTACAGGAGTGAGGAAGAGCCAGTTGTGAGCGTAGAAGTGCGTGAGGCATTGAGTAGAATGAAAGAGGATAAAACACCTGGGACCGATGGGATAAAGATAAAAATGCTAAAAGCATGCTGGGATATAGTTTTTGAGTGGTTAGTGCTTTTATTTAATAAATATACAGAAGAGGGTAAGGAACCAGGAACTGACAGAGAGCATGCATAGTTCCATTGTATAAAGACGAAGGAGACAAAAGAGAGTGTAAAGTGTATGGTAGAGTTATTATTGAAAGAATTAAGAGTAACATGGAGAGCAGGATCACAGAGCAACGAGTTAGTTTTAGGAAGGGTAGGGGGTCTGTTGACCAAGTGTTTAAACTGAAACATATAGGTGAACAGTATGTATATAGGGGTAAAGAAGTTTTTATGGCATTTATGGATTTGGAAAAGGTGTATGATGGAGTGGGTGGGTGGGAGGGGGGTAATGTGGGAGATGTTGCAAATGCATGGCATAGGAGGTAGGCTACTGAAAGCAGTGAAGAGTTTTTATGATAGTGAGGCTCAGGTTAGAGTTTGTAATAGAGAGGGGGAATATTTTCCAGTAAAAGTAGGATTTAGACAAGGATGCGTGATGTCACCGTGGATGTTCATTATATTTATAGATGGCGTTGTAAGAGAACCGAATGCTCGGGTGTTGGCAAGAGGTGTGGGGTTAAAAGATAAAGAATCTAACACAAAGTGGGAGTTGTCATAGATGCTATTTGCTGATGACACTTTGCTTTTGGGAGATTCTGAGGAGAAGTTGCAGAGTTTGGTAGATGAATTTGGTAGTGTATGTAAAAAAAGGAAATTAAAAGTGAACATAGGAAAGAGTAAGGCAATGAGGATAAAAAATTAAGTAAAGAAAGACTGGATGCCAGACTGAAGGGAGTATGGAGGAGGTGAATGCATTCAGATATCTGGGAGTGGACGTGTCAACAGGTAGGTCCATGAAAAACGAGGTGAATCACAGAACTGATAATTGGAAAAAGGCGAGTGATGCACTGAGGAG